AGCAGGGCGACATTATAAAAATTAGAGATGGTACCCAAAATGTCTTTCCGGTGCTCCTTAAAGAGAAAGAGGGAGAGATTTAATATAATAATATATATTGTCAAAATGTTCCAGATCTTTTTCTTAATCTTTATGCATTGTTCTCTGTTTTAGCGTCCAGGCGATATATATTAACCTGCTTGTTGTATAGTAGTGGTTGGTACTAATGATGATGGGGGGCTCTCGCGTGGCCAAGATGTTATTGGTGTTTGCCTCTTATTCAAAGGTCCCGGGTTCGAATCTGGGTAGCGATGGAAACATTTTCTTCTCTAAAATTGTCTCCTTTCTTCTCCTTTCCTGCTCTATAGCCCAAGTAATGTTCTGTCATCTGCTTTCGTCTCCACTTTCTGCCCCCTCCCTCACCTCCTATGCCCCCTCCTTTGGGCTCCTGACTCTTTCTGCAGCCTTTCTACTGCTACTCTTTGGCTCCTTAATCTTACTGCAGTCTTTCACCCACACCCCTGATCTTCTGGTAGGAAGATCTACACCTGGCTTTCTCAGACAAGGACGAAAAATGTCAGAGGTCCCGTGTGTAAGTTATGCACATAAGATCCCTTGGTGGTCTAAAATCGATAAGAGTAGGCTTCGGCCACCACCTTAGCAAAATTCAAAGTTTCCTACCAACTGAAAATGTTTAATGTGTCCCGCGCTATTTGACCTTATGGAGTTGCGAGCGCTGTAAAACACTTACGAAAAAAAAATTATATTCGAACACAGACATGATTCTTCTAAAGAACAATTTTCCCTCTTTAAAAACATGTACTGCATGTCGATTTACGCCAAGAAGCGAAACAATCACGATTGGTTTTTATCATTCTATAAATAGAAACATAGAATGTAATTTTATTCAAATTGCGCGGATGCATTGGTCCAAAAATAAAGAGTCTAAGCACATCATTCTCAAAAAGAAAAAGACCCACGATGATCAGTACTCGCATTCATAAAGGACACCCGTATCCAAATATATACGCGTGAGCTTTATACGTGTCCGAATAGACGCAGCCAATAATGATACACCATGCCATATATGATGTATACTGTATCCTGTGTCTGCTTCAGTAACAAATCACTTATCATCAGTAACATTCCAAAAAGTATAGCATGGACAAGCTGGAAAGTTTTTTAAAATGTTAGGGCATTCTGGGGAAATTAAAGGCTTGTTTGGTGAAATCAGGCGCTTGTCAAATAGTGAAATCAAAGAAAACAGCATTTTTCCGCCTATAGGGTACTTTTTATTGAATTTAAACATTTTGGCTCAACCCCTTTTATGTCCATTTTAAAACTCATTTACATGTGGGTTCTACTGAAACACGTTGATTAAAGGCCCCCAAAAATATACATTTTAGTTTCCAAGGACTCTCAAGCAATGTAGTCACCATTTGTGGCCATTCTCGCAAATTTTACCTTTGATACCAGGGGACCCCACCTCCTTCAATGTCAAATGTACTTCTGTTTAAAGAGACAGGTATTATTTTTATCTAAAGCAAGACAAAGGAACAAGGTTTAAGATTATACCAATAATTTCACATCCCCAAAAATTGACAAGCGCCTGATTCCATCGTCCCGTAACACAATTGTTTAGTCTAGCATATACTGCCTATATTCTGGTTTATCGGAAAGGAAACTTCCACTTCAAACATAATTCCTCATATATAGGCTATATATAGCTGGCTTTGATTAACACTAACCAAGAATAAATGAGGGAAATGTACTACGCAATGACAATCAAGAAAGAAATGTATTTATGAGACTGTAATTTGAAGTGAATAATTTGCCTATCAAGATAACCAAATGTTTGCTTTTTATAATTCTCCCTATTTCTCTCTACTTTTTCTTCAGGTGACATGAAGTCAGTTTGGAAAAGAATAAAGAAGAACTTTAACATCAAGAGTTCAAAAAGTGAGTGACATTGCATGTCAAGAAATTGATTTATTAAATATTTTCAGCATTTTCTTCCTCAGAATCATATTTGAGACGTCAACATTTCCATCGTCGCAATGAGAAATTTCAGAAAAATTGGGGAGGGGTGGGAGGGGGGGGGTTCTGGAGATCTGGCCCACCTGATTTCTTAAAAGTAGGTCTTCAGGGTGTAGAAGTGAAAGTACAAAATTACCCTGGGCAGGCCTTGCAGTAGAAGGCATTATCCGATTAGATTGTTTGATAGACTGTGGTCAGAAGTGGGAACTTACAGTAGACTGTATTATGGCAATAGACTGTCAAGTGACCGGCACCGAGTTTTTGTTCTGTTTGACCAAGTAACCCTGTGATCCCTTGCCACCGGTACACAGGTGATGTGTAAAACTGCCCATAGGCGTAACCACTGGAACAGCAGTGAGTGAGACTGTATCCACAACCCGGCCCATCCAAGACAAAACGTGCACAGGAAACTGTGTGTACTACACCAGGCGTTGTTGATTATTTTGAAGATCTTTCTGAATTAGATGCTGGTAATGATGAGGATATTACCCTGAGTGGGATATGAAATGTAATTCTGAAGATCATATGAATGTTAGTAAAACATGTATCACTCAGGAACTCGGACAGAGGGGCACGATAGCCTCAGGAGGTCAGGTCTCGAAGGGTTAAAATCTGTGAACTGCTATGACAGGTGTTTGTAGTCCAGGGTGTGAACTGATCAATCAGCTGAAAAAGAAGGCACGGCAATGGAGACTGCAGAGAGTTCACAAGTTCTGGTGACAGGGACCATCGCACTGTTTAATTCAAAGGGAGAAAATACTACAAACTATACAACAACCCCCCTGGGGCGGGGCCACCGACTGAAATGTCTTTATGCCATTCCCAAAGGGGGAACATTTATCGTTCTAATGCACTTTAGAATTGTAAATGGGCTGATCCAACGGCATGTCATGCTTATAACTGTGCCTGAACTACAACAGGGAACTGCTGCTTTTTCTTTCCTAATCCTTACTATCGTCATTTTCCTCTACTTCTTTTGTATGTTTGTCACACTCTTGTGACCCGCTATTTGCGGGGTGCCTTGATAGTGGAAGTCGAAGCAGACTGTGTGCTGTTGAAGCTAGAGAGTGAGCAGAGTAAGTCTGATTCCCTGTAAAGACTTCTCTGTTGACATCCACCCCTTGGCGCTCATATGACCATTTGCAGTTGTGAGTGCCATAAAACCCTCTACCAAAACTTAAAAAACTATACAACAGCCCTGCTAACAGCCTTAAAAATGAATGCCTATATAATGAGCTCTTTGCCCCTTCAAACAGTCATCCACTAACTTGGAGAGCTAACTAATATAAGTTTGTCCTCAACACCACCAGCGAACTGACCGCCACAGGCACAAACTACTCTTGGCACATGTCACCCACTCGACAGCTTTGCAGTGATAAGCCCGAAGGACATCTCGTTTTGGAGGAGGGGAAAGAACTCATTATATTTTCCCTCTTTTAGTCATGGCAAAATCATTTCCCTTGAGGTTGGGCGGTAGATGATATTTGACAAATGACAGCAATGGATTTGAAACTTGGTTATACTGCCGGTTTAACTGTATATTATGGAGAGACTTACTGTAATCAAAGAACTTACATCGCACAGATTTGAGAGACCAACTTCCAGATTATATTTTGAGTGGTAAGACCACTCTGGGTGGCCTGGAGTCACTGAGGGTTTACAGATGCTCTAAAAAAGGACTCAAGACATGGACATGTCCTGTTCAATTATTTTGAAAAAAACAAAACCTTTGCCTACTATGAAAGTACTGGCTTTGTGTCTATTTTTTGGTATGACATGTTAATGATCTTATTCATATCAGACAACCGTTGACTGTTAAATCACAAGTAAATTCATCAATGATATTTCAACACCAAGAAAAAACAGAAACAGGATTTAAATCTCCTGTCATCTGTCAACACAGTGGTGGTCATCTGTTGGTGCCCCATTCCTTGCTATAACAGGCTTCTTACTTCCATGGGCAGTCTCTGCTTTGATGTGTAAACAGTAGTATTTCTTGAAGTCGTGGACCGCTGTTGGATTTTACATTGTCTATGCATGATGTAGGAGGTGTTCTTTTCTTTCTGTTTGCCTCTATTTGTTTTTATATTTATTTAGAAAGACAAACCAAAACTAGTGCAGTGCCCTCACCAGAAAAAGTGGTCTTTTACAGAGATTGATACCACTTTCAAGGGGAAATTTGTAGTAAGATGGGACTGAATGGAATGCAACTCCAAAGGCAGATAGCATCATCTCCTGCCTTTAACTGAAAGGGCTGTATTTTACTGTTTACTGTTTTGTTGGAGAACGAGGCATTGCGCTTGTGTGGAATTGAATAAGGTCGCATACATTCTATAATTACCCCCATGTATGTACCGGACTTGAGACAATATTCCAAAACATTCCTACAGTAGGAACACAGATCTGGCCTCCATACTATTTGATGAGAAGAAGGAACTGCGTACAGACATAATTGTCCTTCTTGATCTTGAGTCAGTAATGTCATCATCATTGTTGTCATCTTTATCGTTATCTTTTTCATCTGCATCTTTATCATTGTAGTATCATTATTATAATTACCATAAATAATTATCATCTTTATCATTGTCATTGTTTTTGTTTCCATTTCAATATCATCATCACAATAAAAAATCTGCTTCTTATGTAATTTATGACATCTTAGTAATATTAGTATCACTGAATTTGCTTGTAGACCTGCAGAGACCTTCTTGTTTTGTTGTCAGAACAGGTATACTGCATACACTTCTTTTAATATTGACATTTGATGTATAAGTAAGACCTTCCATATAATGAATGCTTATCTCTACCTGGATGGACAAAACTGAGTGGAAAGTTTCTAAAGCTCCGTACACTACTGGAGTTCAAGAAAAGATTTGAAACATGTTTGCCCACATGGCAGCCTAGATTTTATGTTTCCTTTACTGAGGAGAGTTTCTATTTCAGAATTATTTTGTGTTGCCTCTGTGTCGTATCAGCTAATGCTCACTATATACATGTAATATATTTCAGAACGTAAACATGAGGCCAAGGAGAATGGAGGTAAGTCATATTGTTAAACGAATGCAGACAGACACTCTCTATATACAGTGGAGTCTGCTTTCAGAACACTGTAAATCTGAAAACAGCTGTTAACGGGGGGAAAAAAACAAGATTCCCATAATCCCCCCCCCCCCCCCCCCCCCCCCCCCCCACACTTGTAATTTTGAGGTAACGAACTGTATATGTCGCGGGAGGGAGATTGGGTTCTATTCGACATCTTTGGCCAGTTCTTTGGATCGACTGCTCAGTGTAAGACTCCGTCATTTGTCACTTTTCAAAATGGCGTATGGCGCAGTCTTACTCTAAGCCGTTGAGATGTACTAAGCCCAAATTTAGAAAAACATTTTTGTATCGGAGTTTCTTAATCTGTGGTATCGGTCGTGTGTGTTTGAGAAATATTTTGTGGAAGTCCAAATTCTACATGTTGAAAAAAAGCAAGAAAAGATTCATAATTCAGGTAAAAAATTTTTAAAGAATGAAAGTTTTTTCTCTCTCCTGAAGAATTTTGCTTTCTGGGATTTGAACAGTTGGACAGCTTGCCAATGATGTATGATGATCTAAATAAATTTCTCTGTGACATCAGTTGTAACCTGTAGAAGTTACACTGTAATATGTATAATAGCCTTTTTAAGTTCTGTAAACTGGGGTCACTAAGGCATGCAACTGGGAAGAATGTAATGATGAAGAAGTAGACAATGATGGTGATGATAGGGGAGGAAAAGGAGATAGATGATGATGATGATTTCAGAGACAGACTCGTCTCTGCATAAGACCGGTAAATATGTTAACCGGAATAGGTTATCGCTTGCCTGAGTCGCCCTGTGGTTTACGGTTTCACTATAATATGATAATAATCTGTATAGGTTTCACTAAGACACGTACATGACATAATGGTAATCTATGCCTGTCCCAAAGTAATTACAACAGTTTTACATTTTTGCTGGTCACTGCTGAGTAAAATGCTGTTGTAAGCTTGTAGGGTTTAAATATGTATTGTTCAGCTATATACCCCAGGGGTACAAAAAGACAGCGGGAGAATTCAAATTTGGTAGATGGTTTTTGATTCTTCCCAATTTTGAAGTGGGGTAGGGGGATTCTAGAATAACTGAGTCATAACAGTTTACAGATAATAAATGTGAGGCTGCATGGAGGAATCAGGCTCTTGTCAAAATAATCAAACTGAAGAAACTGGCATTTTTTTGCAGGTTTGTAAATTTTTATCAAAATTTTGTTTTTTGGCTCAACACCTTTCATGCCCATTAAAGGACTCATTTCTGGGCGGATTTTTCTTAAAAATGTTGATTAAAGGCACCAAAAATAAAAATTTTTCAGTTACCACGGACTCTTAAGCTAAGGAAATAACTCCTCTTTGGCAGCCATTTTCTCACTAATTTTACCTCTGAAAACAGGCGACCCCCACCTCCTTCATTCGCAAATATCTCTACTTGTATTCAAGATAAATGGATATTTTTTCCCTCCAAATAAAGACAAGTGAACAAGCTTTAAGATGATACCAATAACTCTACATGCTCAAAAATTGACGAGAGCCTGATTCCACCACGCTGCCTCACAAATTGTACTTTTATAATATAAACCTTGCTCCTAGTATTATATAATTTATATATATACATGTGTATATATATATATATGTATATATATATATATATATATATATATATATATATATATATATATATATATATATATATATATATCCATATACATGCATTTTATATTTGGATCATTTTGTTTTCCTTCCCTAGAGTTGTTAGAAATCTTGGAATGTGATGAGTCAGTTATTTTGGGATCACTATGGGACAATTGTACATGCGGCAAGAACCCTGGACATGCCGACTTCACTGCTGTTGAGGACTTCACGTTATCGAAACTACAGCTGGAAATTCAAGAAGAAACTGTTTTTGACTACATTAAAGCTCATGAAAAACTTGTAGTGAAGATAGAGGTTGTGAAAAGTGAACCAGAAGCAGGGAAGAAATTTGCCACTGGTTATGCGTGGTGTATGGTTGAGAGGATCGAATTCCCTTGCCCTGTCAGTAAATGTTCACACACCCCTTCAGATCATGGTGTTTTCGGTGGGGTCATCGTGTATACTAATCAGCACGTTGTGAAGGACAATACAGAGGCGGAGAATTCTACTGTGTATTTCACTTTTGGAAGTGAAACAGTCAAAGCATTTGGAGTGAAGCTAAGAGAAAATCGGGACAATAAAGACTTGGTTGGGCTAGAGGTTTGTTTCCATGACCCACAGTTGTACAAGCAGGTCGGTGGCTTTGCGGAAGATGTCGCCAAAGCCTGGAACGCTATACCGGTGTCGGCTAAAGAAGCTTTCAAGCAGTATGCCATTGTTATTTCGCATCCTCATGGTACAGAAAAAGTGATCTCAGTTGGAAATTTAATCACTTTAGAAGAGGAGGAAGATTTGAGTAAACTATCAAAAAATGAAGTCATGCAAAATGAATCTGATTCTCACGGGATGCGTTTCAACGCTGAGAGGCAAAAAGTGACACGCTATAGTACAGCCACATGTCCTGGCAGCTCGGGGGCTCCTGTGTTGACCGGCTTCTATCCTCACCGGCCCTTCACACACAGCTCATATGACCCTTTCAGAAAACAGAATTTATGTAAGTCTTACTAAACAGAAATTTTTTTCAGTGTAGAGTATTCACATTTTTTACTGTCTAGCACGCACATAGCAAACACTCACTATAGGTTTTCAGATTCCGAGTTGTTTTAAAAAAAATTGAACTTGTATATATATATATTCTTTGTTGAAAATGACGCAGCAAAATTCAAACACAACAAAAAGATTTCTGTATCCCACCGATTTTGCTTTGTGCATACTATATTATAATTCCTTGTTGTCTTAGTGATCAAAATGAGCTGTGAGATACAGTGAAATTTCCTTTGAAAACAAAATTTAGGTACAGTAATTCCTATGATTGGCTTTCACTGAACATCTCTGCTATGTACCAGTTTTGTCTACAACACTGGGAACTGGAAAGAAGATTAAAACGTTTTCTTCTCTGTTTTATTGTTCTGGAAATTTGAGTCTGGCATCTAGTAGCTACCTCATAATTACAAAGTTCTATCTACTCAGTACATGTACCTAGTTTTGGGAAATTTGGCGTCAAAAGTTTTTAGTTTCACAATATGTCGACCTCTTCTAATGTAATCCTTTGAATATTTTGATATTGACTCAGAATAATTTTACGATATTGATAGAGCAGATAGAACATTTGATTTCTAATCTCTTGATCTTAGTAACTTAAAACAGCCAAAAAAGAACATTGTAATTCTGAGGTAGCGTAGTATCTGGTAGTGTTCCTTTATTTTAAAAAATATAGATATACTTCAGTGGAGAATTTCAGATGGTTCACCTGCAGAGCATACCTGTGGCCTTCCGTCTACTGCTCTTCCTGCTGTATTATGGCGACTGTCTTTCTTTATTTCTTTTCTCTTTGGGTGATATTATTATTGCTTTGGGCTGTCTGAATCAAGAGACCCAGTGCCTGTTTTTTAAAGTTTGTGCACTCTATCACTCACAGCAGCCTGATGACATGTGTTTGATTCTCCTGTTGAAAAGTTACTTTATCGTGTATCTCCATATTATGTGTAGTACTGGCAGCTTGTGTCCCACTCCTCCCCTATATGACCTAGGGTTGAAGCATAGTGCCTCTTCAATGATAAAGATTGTACATTTAGCTTCAATGTGTAAAATTGTGCAAATGCGCGTGTTTTGTTGGTGCTTGCACTGGTCTGTGTGTGTGTGTGTGTGTGTGTGAGCAAGTGTTAACACGCGTGTGTGTGTGTGTGTGTGTGTGTGTGTGTGTGTGTGAGCAAGTGTTTACACGCGTGTGTGTGTGTGTGTGTATGTGTGTGTGTGTGTGTGTATGTGTGTGTGTGAGCAGGTGTTTACACGTGTGTGTGTGTTTGGAGGGGGGGGGGTTGTGTGTGTGTGTGTGGTGGGGGGAGGGGTTTGTGTGTGTATGTAAGTGGTATATGTTCACATTACTATGTGTATATCATGTTATTCGATGTATGTACCTTGATCTCAGGAGAATTAGAAAGATAAAGCACCTTATTTCAACCAATGTTGCATGCATGCTCTCTGTACTCTCTTGCTTTGTCAAAACTGGACTACTGTAATTCTGTTCTGTCTGGTATTTCGTGTGAACGGATGAGGAAACGCAAGTGGCCCAAGCTAACACCGCAAGACTAGTGCTGAAGAAAAAGAAGAACGATCCTGCTTCAAAAATGTTAAAAGCTCTGCATGCATTGGCTTCCTCTTGATAAACGAATCCAATGCGTTTCTACCATCTGTTTTAAATGTCTTAACGGAAGTTAACGATAAAGCCCCATCCTATCTATCTGAGCTTTTAGCACTGTGTGTTCCATCTCGGCAGTTACGGTCATCCACAGATGCAACAAAATTCAGAGCCCCTAGAATTAAATTACGATCTTTTGGTGAGAAAAGTTTCTCACTTTTTGGCCCAAAAGTCTGGAACACCTTGCCTCAGGATCTCAGAGAAACAACAAATTTGATAGGTTCAAGCGATTGCTCATGACTCTTTTGTTTAATTGTTATTTATGGTTGTGAAAGTTCTTCTTTATGTGGTTGAATTGGTTTTTATTGTTTCTGTGAAATATTTTTTCGTGTGAATGATTATGTGATTGGTGTAAAGCGCTCAGACCTAATACTAGTATGGGATAGAGCGCTATATAACTCCTCCTCCTCCTCCCCCTCCTCCTCCTCCTCCAGCTGCTGCTACTGCTGCTACTGCTGCTACTGCTGCTACTGTTGCTACTGCTGCTACTGCTGCTGCATTTATATAATATGTGTGTGTGTTATGTGTTTGCACATATTTGTGTGAACCTTTAAATATGTACTTAACCCCCCAGTCTTTAGGCCATTTCCAAAGGGGGGATATTAACATGTTCTTATGCACAGTAGAATTGTAAATGGGCTGATTCATCAATGTCATGCTCATAACTGTGCCTGAACTGCAACAGGGAACTGCTGCTTTTTCTTTCCTAATCCTTACTATTGTCATTTCCTCTACTTCGTTTGTATGTTTGTCACACTCTTGTAACCCGTTATTTCCGGGTGCCTTGATAGTAGAAGCAGACTTTGTGCTGTTGAGGTTAGAGAGGTGAACAGATGAACAGAGTAAGCCTGATTCGGCGTTTGGACTTTTCTGTTGACATCCACCTCTTGGCACTCCTATGACCTTATTATGCAGTAGCGAGCGCCGTAAAACCCTACTAAAAACTAGCATTTAACCACTACACATACAGTCGCTGGTATACATCATCATCATTGCCTTTCTCACCCTGGGTAAGGGCGTTGTAGGCCAAGATCAAACGCATTCCACCTTTCTCTATCCTGGGCTAGCCTCTTGATGCTATTCCATGTCTTCCCACTTTTCTGTACATCAATTTCTGTTACTCTTCTCCAGGGCCCACGTGATCTTCCCCTTGATCTTTTACTTTTACCCTGTGGGTTCCAGTCAAACGCTTTCCTTGTTGGGCAGCTGCCTGATACACGCATTATGTGTGTGCAAATGTGTGTGAGTGTGTATCATGCATGTGACATGTGAATACCGGCACAGTCAGACTCCTCTGTATACTGGGGTTGAACGTCTTTCATGATTTCTTGTCGTTGACCAATAATTGAGATATTACTATAAAACATGTGTCGTTTATTGTATATAAAATTTATGTTTGATCAGAATAAATAAATGTTGAAGGCTTTATATTTAGAACTTTATTTTGTATGTCCGTCCAATGACTGTGTGTGTATGTGTGTGTGTGTGTGTAAGTGTGTGTGTGTGTGTGTGTGTGTGTGTGTGTGTGTGTGTATGTGTGTGTGTGTGTGTATGTGTGTGTGTGTGTGTGTGTGTGTGTGTGTTTGTGGAAGAGAGTGATGAGAGAGAGGAGAGAGGGGGAAGATATATATATATCTATCTATCTATATATCTATATATATATATAGAGAGAGAGAGAGAGAGACAGAGAGAGACAGAGAGAGACAGAGAGAGAGAGAGAGAGAGTTTGTTGACGGCTGCATTTCTGTTTTGTGTATCTGCCATGCAGCAAATGTCTCTTTGTGGAGTTCAGTGTATTGTTATCTCATCCCACCTCAGCTTAGCTCACCTAAGCTCATCTCATCTCATCTCAAAATATTTTATCTTCTCTTACTTCTTGCTTTAATCAAAAACAAAGTGTAAAAATTGTTCCTTTATCGGGTTTTCTTTTGTGTTTCAGTCCTGTATTTTCGTCCTATTTAAATAATTTGGAAGACGACTGCTTCAAAATATGCCAGGGCGACCTGAGCTGAGTGGAATACAAGCAAACAGACAAAGATACGACATGTACTTGATTTTTAAAAAGCTCATAGGAATCGAACTCATGTCCTTTGCAAGCCACATGGAAAATTTTAACCACTACACCAAAGATGCTGGTGAAAAATTGGCAAACCATACACAGGGGGCTCTCGTGGCCTAGAGGTTAGGGTGTTGGCCTCTCATTCAAAGGTCCCGGGTTCGAATCCGGGTAGCGACCGAAAACTTTTCTTCTCTAAAATTGTCTCCTTTCACCTCCTTTCCTGCTCTCTAGCAATGTTCTGTTGTCTGCTTTCATTTCCACTTTCTGCCCCCACCCCATCACCTCCTTTGCCCCCTCTGGGCTCCTGACTCTTTCTGCAGCCTTTCTACTGCTACTCCTTGGCTCATCCATACTGCTGTCTTTCTGCCACACCCCTGATCTTCTGGTAGGAAAGATCTACATCTAGTCTTCTCGGACAAGGGCGAAAAATCTCGGAGGGCCCGTGTGCAAGTTGCGCACGTTAAAGATTCCTTAGTGGTCTAAAATCGATAAGAGTAGGCTTCGGCCGCCACCCGGGCAAAATTCAAAATTTCCTACCAGCTGAAAATATTAAGTGTGTCACGCGCGCTCATATGACCTTATGCAGTTGCGAGCGCCGTAAAACACTTTACAAAAACAGAAACCATACACTAAGACTAACGGTACTATTAGTGCATTAAGGAACTGCTTCTGAAGAAAAGATACATATTATAAGCTAATTAATTTACAGAAATGTCGTCTATAATTCTATTCACTAACGTCGCAACTACGGAGAAAAATCTCACAGCTTCTTTGTTGGTCATCTCATATTAAATTTTATTGTGCCATATCTTGGACATTATTTCTTTAGACTTGGTACTCTTCCACCATTCTGCAAAATATAAGGATGGGTTTTCATTTTAGACCTTTTCAACAGCTGAAAAAATTTGGATGCATTGCTGATCGATTACACTATTTTTGGGGGGGAGGGGGTGGGGGGTATTGGTGTTTTTTTATAGTAATTTTTACTTTTAAAAATTAGGTCTCGGTTTTTTTTCAGTCACTCTTTCAAATGAAAGAACTACAACTCTAGTATGGATAGGGACAAATAAATCATCGGCCAGCTGTTCAAATTATGTTCCAAGCCCCAAAACTCTTGAATTGTATTTTTTAAATTATTTGTTTCTCTCGGTATCTGTGGTATTGGTTACATGTCTGGAGAAATAATTTGTCAAAATTCAAAATTCCTCACTAACTAAATGTACAAGTAAGAAAGAGAAAGACAATAATAATGTCCTAACCCTGTGGTCCGTCATACAAAAATTTACGCTTCCAGTGTCCTTGCCCATGATCTGTTGGGTAGCATGGCTTATTTATATAGGCTATATTATATTATATAATATATGCGAGACGTGCGGACAAAATGATTTACTTCTTGCAATCCATAAATGGAGATATTCGCCGAAAAACGACACTCGGGTCAAATTTGTAGATTTTCTTATTGATGTCATATTTTTAAAGTACAACATGCCCTTTACGATTCCATATTTATAAATAGTAATAACTTCACCTAAAAGCGTGATGTATATATTTCCATGGGAATAGAATTGGAGAAGTTACTTATTTTGTCAGCACGCTTCACACACACACACACACGCACACACACACACACA